CTGCCTGTAGCGGGCCCGGCAAGGATGCGAAAAATACTATTTTGGATGACTCGGCCAACATCAATAGAATACCCTCTTTGAATCACAAAATTCAGTAAGGCCCGTTCCTTTGTGACATCACTAGTGTTGCTACTGGGGATCAGCTTGGATGATATGAAGTGGTGCCAGATTTTACAATTGGGTGTCAGACCAGATGAAGGGAAGTGGGTTACATCACTAGCTGACCTTTTCCATTCGGTATCAAGGCGAGCTATAGTTCGAATTATCTCCCCAGGATCGATCCCCTCATTCCGGAGTCGGGAATAGTCATCATTGGGTATATCCCGTGTATGGTAGAACCGGTTAATGGAGGCACTATCAAACTTGATCCAAAAACCCCGTACAAAAACCTTGAAGTTCTCATGTTCGTTGGCGTTGGCATAGAACTCTTTCACCAGAAGAATTGAGGTAGCACTAGGTTGCTTGGTAAAATTCTCCCACCCCAAACTGTGAATTTTATCTAGTAAAAAATTATCAAGGCCCCTCTCAGGAATGCAATTTCGATGTACCACACTGTGTCTGTAGCGTTCCTCTGCTTCAGAACTAATAAATCTTCGACGATCAAACGCAGTAGTTGAGGAAGAGGCAGTGGCCTTGGATTTCTTTTTAGGAGGCATGGATGAAGTGTTCTTGCACAATATCAACTGAAGTTAACCGTCCACCTGAATCAATTAAAAGATTTTGTCTTAGAAAATGCAGTAAGTCCCAAGTAAGCATGAAAATCTTAATAAGATAAAGTATCGAACGTGTGGTAGGCGGTGATAATAAACAAGTACAAAGTTGAATGCTAGCCATCAAACTATCCCAAGAATCATGCAAAAGATGTCTTTGGTGACATTTACCAAACACTCTATGAGCAAGATAATATATTAGTAGTTAGGAAAGTTCAAGCCCATAGGAAAATTGCAAAGCCTTCTAACTTAGATTTCAAAGAGCAAAAGAACAAACACATGGTAGGCATAACAAAATAAGTTCGAAAATAAGATAAAGACCCACACAAGCTTTACCAAAACACAACCCAATAAAGTTAGATGATATTGTGACATAGTCCTGAACAAGATTACCATGAGAAGTTCAAATTAAACTACGAAAACGAAAACTTTACAATGTAAAGGAATGTACCTTATTTGATGAACTAGTCACTAGCTTTTCACTTCTAGATGTCGGTTGTTATAGATGTAATAACCTATAAATATGGGGTAATATAAGAGAATTGGTGTGTGCAAGTGTGGGGGAAAGAGGGGTAGATTTGAGAGGAAAGAGGAGTATAAGGGTTTTGTGGGTAGGGAAATGAAAAGAAAAAAAAAGTGCGTTGTTGTTTTTAAAGGAAAAAAAAACGTGTTGGGCGCCATGGCGCCCAAGTCTGGTGCCCAGGTTACTGAAATTTTTTTTTTTTCGGCCAGCATACTTCTTTCCCATATTGTTTAGAGTTTGATGCAACCATTTTGAGCATGACCTACAAAATAATAAAGAAAAATAAACTTATCAAATTGGCGTAAGAGAAAACGAGCATGTTACAATAATGAAAAGAAACTTAAGGAATAGAACTTGGGTTGCCTCCCAATAAGCGCTTCTTTTACGTCTTTAACTGGACGTGGATATGATTTCAAGTTAGTTCGTTAAGGGTAATTTCTTCCACATCCCAATTTTCCTCTCCATAGTAATGTTTGAGGCGTTGCCTATTTGCCTAAAAGGTAGACCCATCCTTGCCTACTAATTCCACTGAACCATAAGGGAATACCTTGCGGATTACAAATGGTCCTGACCACCGGGATTTGAGCTTGCCTGGAAAGAGTTTCAAGCGAGAATTGAATAGAAGAACCGGTTCTCCTACCTTGAATTCCCTCGTTAATATTCTCTTGTCATGCCACATCTTTGTCCGTTCTTTACATAACTTTTCATTTTCATATGCATCGTTCCGGAATCCTCCAATTCATCAAGCTGCAACAAGCGTTGTGGACTGGCCAATTTCATGTCTAAATTCAATTTCTTCACAGCCCAATAAGCTCGATGCTCCAATTCTACCGGTAGATGACAAGCTTTCCCGAACACCAGACGGTAGGGTGACATTCCAATTGGAGTTTTAAATGCTGTTTGGTATGCCCAAAGAGCGTCATCTAGTTTGAGAGACCAGTCCTTTCGATTGGTATTCACTGTCTTTTCCAGAATCTGTTTAATCTCTCTGTTAGACACCTCTGCTTGCCCATTTGACTGTGGATGATAACCCAATGCCAACTTGTGCTTGACATCATACTTAGCTAGAAGAGAATTGAACAGCTTGTTACAAAAATGTGTACCTCCGTCGCTTACGATCGCTCTAGGCATGCCAAACCGAGTGAAGATGTTTTTCTGTAAAAATTTCAACACCACCTTTGCATCATTTGTTGGTGTGGCAATGGCTTCAACCCACTTAGACACATAATCTACTGCGAGAAGAATATACTCTTGACCAAAGGAAGGTGGAAATGGACCCATGAAATCAATACCAAGCATACTGGTTAATGGTAGCTCATGATGTCTTGAAATGTTTCCAGTGCGTTGACAGCGGTCACATATTTTCACAAAAGCATAGCAGTCTTTGAACAAATTTGGCCAATAAAAACCAGATTGCAATACCTTTGCAGCAGTACGTGTAGGACCGAAATGACCTCCATAGGATGATGAATGGCAATGCTGCATGATTGATCGCATTTCTTCCACGGGGACACACTGCCTAATTATTCTATCAGCACACCTTTTGAACAAGATTGGATCATCCCACAGAAATGACTTGACATCATGTAGGAATTTCTTCTTTTGATGAAAGGTCAAGTCAGGTGGCAATCTTCCAGACACTAAATAATTTATAGAATCAGCATACCATGGGATCTTTGTTGATACAGCTAGCAAGATCTCGTCGGGGAACGTTTCTCGAATTTGACTGTCATCCCCCACCTTTTCATTCTCCAATCGTGAGAGATGGTCTGCAACGACATTCTCACTGCCTTTCTTATCCCGAATCTCTACATCAAATTCCTGTAGTAGTAGTATCCATCGAATTAGGCATGGCTTGGCATCCTTCTTTTGAAAGAGGTAACGGATTGCAGCATGATCCGTGTAAATTATCACTTTGGTTCCAATAAGGTAAGATCTGAATTTGTCAAATGCAAACACTACTGCTAGCATTTCCTTCTCTGTTGTTGTGTAATTTAGTTGAGCTCCATTAAGAGTTTTGCTGGCATAGTGGATTGCTCGAAAAATCGTATCATGCATTTGTCCTAAAACTGCTCCTACTGCATAATCACTAGCATCACACATAACCTCAAATGGCTGATCCCAATCTGGTACTACCATCACTGGAGCAGTGACTAATTTTGCCTTTATGGTTTCAAAAGCCCGTAAGCAGTCTTCATCAAATACGAACGTTGTGTCCTTCTCCAAAAGGTTACATAGGGGTTTTGCCACTTTTGAGAAGTCTTTGATGAATCTCCTGTAGAATCCAGCATGCCCTAAGAAACTTCGAATGCCTTTGACATTGGTGGGTTGTGGTAGCTTTTCAATTGTATCAATTTTTGCTCTGTCCACTTCCAACCTCCTCGCCGAAACATGATGGCCTAGCACAATACCTTCTTGTACCATGAAGTGGCACTTTTCCCAGTTGAGAACTAAATTCCTTTCCTCACAGCGTTGCAGCACTAAGGAGAGATTATGAAGGCAGTTATTAGAAGAAGTACTGAACAGCGAGAAGTCATCCATAAATACCTCCATGATGTCTTCAACCATGTCTGCAAAGATTGCATCATGCATCTTTGAAAAGTGGCTGGTGCATTGCATAACCCGAATGGCATCCGTCTGTAGGCAAAAGTTCCATATGGACAGGTGAAGGTTGTCTTTTCCTGGTCTTCTGGTACTATAGCAATCTGGTTGTAGCCCGAATATCCATCAAGAAAGCAATAGTGAGTGTAGCCAGCTAATCTGTCCAACATTTGATCAATGAACGACAGTGGGAAATGGTCCTTTCTAGTTGCCTTGTTCAGTTTCCTGTAATCAATGCACACCCTCCAGCCAGTTACCGTTCTTGTCGGAATTAGCTCATTGTTGTCGTTCTTAACTACTGTCATCCCTCCTTTCTTTGGTACCACTTGCACTGGGCTGACCCATTCACTGTCTGAAATGGCAAAAATGATTCCTGCCTTCAGTAGCATTAGAATCTCTACTCAAACCACTTCTTTCATTGCTGGGTTTAACCTTCTTTGATGTTCGATGGATGGCTTGTAAGACTCTTCCATGAGGATTTTGTGCATGCAGATTGTAGGACTTATCCTCTTGATGTCAGCTATTGACCATCCCAAAGCGGCCTTATGATCCCTCAACACTTTCAATAATCTATCCTCTTCGTCTCTGGTGAGTGATGAAGAAATAATTACTGGAAATGCAGACTTATCCCCCAAGAATGCATAGCGAAGGTGATCTGGTAGTTGCTTCAGTTCAATCTTACTGCTTTCATTGCTTTCTTTGTCATCTGCTTCCTCTGACTGTTGAATATCCTCACATTGTGATGGGTTTTCCACAACTGATGTAGATTCAAGAGCCAATATGTAATCAACCAAATCCTTGCTCCCGATGTACTCTCCAAAAGTGCTGATATCATCCTTTGTTGTACTAAACATCATACATTGCTCGAGAGGATCTTCAATACATAATTTCTCATCTTTCACAGTAGAATCAATGAAGTCAATCATGTGGCAAGTGTCATTGTCATCTAAGTACTTCATTGCTTGGTAAATGTTGAACCTCACCTCTTCTTCATTCACTCTCAATGTCAATTGTCCCCCTTGTACATCAATTAAAGCCCTTCCAGTTGCTAAAAATGGTCTGCCTAAAATCAGTGGAATTTCCTGATCTTCTTCCATATCCAATACCACAAAATCAGCTGGGAAGACGAATTTGTCGACCTTTACCAACACGTCTTCAATAATTCCTCATGGGTAGGTGAGGGACCTATCAGCTAGTTGTAAAGTCACTGTTGTTGGTTTGACCTCCCCGAGGCCTAACTTCTTGAATACTGATAACGGCATTAAATTGATGCTTGCTCCTAGATCACAAAGGGCCTTTTCAAAGGAAGAGCTTCCAATGGTGCACGGAATAGTGAAGCTGCCCGGATCTTTTCTCTTCTGAGGAAGTTTCTTTTGAAGAATAGCGCTGCATTCCTCTGTCAATTTTACTGTTTCATATTCCTCCAATTTTCGCTTCTTTGACATCACTTCCTTCATAAACTTTGCGTAATTTGGCATTTGTTCCAAAGCATCTGCAAAAGGAATATTAATATGAATTTTCTTAAAGATTTCTAAAAATTTAGCAAATTGATTATCAAATTTTTTCTTTTGAAAACACTGTGGAAAAGGAAGTGGTGGTGTGAGAATTGGTGGGTTGTCAAGGAAGGATATGGAATAAGGTTTGTGAGCCTTATTTGTTCCTTTGGCCTACTTTTCTTGTTCTTCTACTACTTGTTCTTTCTCCTTATTAGGTGTGGGGTTACTGTCTTCAGTGAGTTCACTTTCTCCAGTTTGCTTGCCACTCCTTAATATAACAGCTTTACAGTGCTCCTTTGGATTGATCTCTATATCACTTGGAAATTTTCCTTTTTGCTGAGACTTCATTGAGGTAGCCAATTGGCTAATTTGCACTTCAAGATTCTTCATTGTGGCTCCCATGTTGGACACATGTGTTTCAATATTATCCAAACGTGATTCATCTTTGTTGAAGCGTGATCTTGTCTCAGAAATAAATGTCCCAAGTATGTCTTCCAATGGTAGTTTCCCATCAGAATTCTGAGTGTTGAATCCCGATGGAGGTTGAAGTGTATTTCTATTGTTGCCATATGACAAGTTCTCGTGATTTCTCAACCCTGGATGATAGTGATTAGCTTGGTAGCTTTCTCTTTGATTGTAGTTTCTACGGTTGACATATTGGGCCTGTTCGTTAGCAACCTCTGTCTCTTGGTGTGAAGAAGAAGTACTCATGACTGAATCTACCTTCTGTTGATTTCCTTGAGTGGTAAGCGTGACTATCTGATTTGTGAGTGATGAAACCTGAGCTGCTAGTGCGGTGATGGGATCCACTTCATGAAGTCCTGCTACTTTCTTAACACCCGATCTCTCACTTGGCCATTGGTAACTGTTAGTGGCTATGTCATCCAATAAAGCATATGCAGCCTCTGCTGTTTTAGCCATTAAAATGCCTCCCGCAACTACATCTACCATAGTCCTTGTCTGCCCATTTAGCCCATTATAAAATATCTCAATTTGCACCCATTTCTGGAACCCATATTGAGGACATCTCCTAAGCAAGTCTTTAAATCTTTCCCAGGCTTCATAGAATGGCTCGAAGTCGAGTTGTTTGAATTGGCTAATTTCACCGCGAAGTTGAGCTGATTTAGAAGGTGGAAAGTACTTGGTAAGGAATTTTTGAGGCAAATCATCCCAAGTTGTAATTGAGTCATATGGTAGTGATTGGAACCAAGCCTTTGCTTTATCCCTTAAAGAGAATGAGAATAGGCGGAGTCTAATTGCATCTTCAGTAACCCCATTCATCTTCACCGTGTCACAAATTTCCAAAAAGGATCCAAGATGAGCATTTGGGTCTTCTACTGCAACACCCCCAAACTGATTTTGCTGTACCATGTGTATCAACCCTGGCTTCAATTCGAAATTGTTTGCAGTAATTGCTGGGCGTACGATGCTGGAATAGTTGTCTTTGACAACCGGCCTTATGTAGTCCCGAATAGCCCTTTGTTGGTTATCCTCATTGGCTGCTCTAACATCCTATTCTGCCATTGCTTCCCGTTCGTTTCTTTGTATGCCTCTGAGAATGCGAAATGTGCGTTCTGGTTCAGGATCAACAGGTAGTAGATCTAGATTTCTCGCCCTTCGCATAAACAGCTGAAAATAATCAAAAGGAAACTTTTAAAGATAGACACAAAAGGAGTGAAATAAAAATAACGGTAAAAAAAATATATAAATCTAGAGTAAAATGAACGCCGATTGGTAATAATATCAATTGAATTCGAATGAATCAATCCCCGGCAACGGCGCCAAAAACTTGCCACGCGTTTTATATAACGTGATTTTTACCGCAAGCACAGTGTCAAGTTTTGTAGTATATTAAAGAATTAAAAAGTGTCGAACCCACAGGGATTGATATTCGACTTCCACTGAGTACTATAATTGTGTCCGCATTTACTTTATCTAGACAATCGAGTGCTAAATTAATATTTGAATACTAAATTAACGTCAATGAATTAAATAGTGTAATAAAAGTGAGGCAATTTCTAAAGATTAACTCAATTTTACGTAATGTCTAGGGAGTGATTTCACCATATTCTCGACATAATTCTCAATCCCTATAGATATTTCTATCAAATATTTCCCAAATTCATAGGCAAGAATCCTAAATTAATTCTATTTCCCCCTCTCGAGCGTCAAATAGAACATATCTCTATATTTTAACCCCAATCTCTCTATTCCGAATTAAATATATAAAGATTATCACGTACTTGGTTCTTGTTTTACCCTCAAAGATTCGTACTTTCTCTCGAAGCCTACAAACCTAGGTTATATTGTTCTTAGATCACGCCTAAATTTCCCTCTCTCGAGCGTCAAATTTAGAACATCAATTCATTCAATTGGTGATCAGGCAAAAGAAAGCATTAAGCAAGAACGATATAAATTCAATTCTGAAAAATTAAATAGAAATACTATAAAGAAATTGAATCATGTCTCAAATAGGTTACATCAAACCCTAGATTTAATAACTTAGTTCATGATTGAAAAGAAGAACATGATAAAACACAAATTAAATTTCATGAAGAAGAGAAAGATAAGAAAAAACTCAGGTTGTTGCTCTATTTCTCAATCTTGTGGCTTGATTCTCAGTTTTTTTCTTCTTCTTCTCCAAAATCGGTTAGATCTTCTCTCAATTAGTGTATATCCTTGCCTCCTTTCTTCAGCCGTCCAACCCCCTCTCTTGTTCTTCAGCTGGGTATTTATATTTTCTAAGGGTCTTCAAGGGTTAGGGTGTGATTTTTGGGCCAAAAAAATACTTAAAAACCCGGATTTTGATGTTTTGGAAATGGGCGCCATGGCGCCTAGGTCTGGCGCCGTGGCGCCCATGTTTCTGCTTCTTTTTTTTTCTTCCTTGGGCGCTATGGCGCCCAGGTTTCTACTGGAATTGTCTCCTGGCGCCCCTTTTTCGGCGCCGTGGCGCTAATGCCACTGCTTTAATCCTCTTCTCTTTGTTTTTCCAAGCCTATTTCCCACTCCAATCTTATTCAATACTTGCTTATTCATGTTCCATTTCATTGATCATCATTTTTGCTCATCACCGGCTCCCAATAGTGATATTTTCTTGAGAATTGTCCAAACTGCAAAACAACACTAACACACACATCAAAACGTTCAAAAATGCTCAAGAACACATCAAAAAACTCGATTTAGAAGCTTTAGTTTAATGAGTGAATTACACTCATCAGATATTTTATAACGTTGAAAAAAAATAATTTTCAATTTGATTAGATAATTCTCTTAGCATTAGGGGAGAGGAATTAAGAAGTTAAAAATAATGTATAATGCATCTTCATCTAAATCCCCGCAAAATATTGTTTAAACTAGAAGTTCGAATGATAATTTATTTAGATGCATTTACTGATCAAAGAGATAAATACCAATATTAAATGCTCCAATACAAATTGATATTCTGTGAGGACAATTTATTAGCATTATATTTGATATATTTATCGCACACTTGAAGTGTGATGATGTTTGATTCTAATACAAAAATCTTCAAATGAAAATGGAGCAATTAGCTAAGATGGATTAATTAAGGAGGCATATACTTTTGATGAGTATTTAGATATAATAGATTATAAAACCTAAGTAGAGGTTCGGGTGTCTAATATATTTAAATAAGTTATGTCATTATAGGAAAAGAAATAGAATCGAACAAGAAAAGAAAAAAGTTGTCAACAACATTTTTACACATGATGTACTACATCATTTTATGAATAGCGAGGAATCGTAATAAATGCATCAAAATATGTTGAATAAAATAATTTGGACGCATGTGGTATAATCACTTTAGCGAATATTTGTTGAATGAATGCCATAAAATTGACGATGTCCACCCATATTTTTTAGAAAGAAAATAAATATTGGATTTACAATTGTAGTAGTTTATGTTGATGATTTAAATTTAATTGGAACTCTTAAAGAGCTCAACAACATTGCTGATTATTTGAAAAATGAATTTGAGATGAAGCATTTGGGAAAAATCAAATTTTGTCTCGGATTGTAGATTGAATATTTAGCAGATGGATTATTTGTTCATCAATTTATATATACAGAAAAAGTTTTAAAATGTTTTTATATGGATAATGCATATCCATTGGCATCACCTGCGGTTGTTCAATTACTTGATGGGAAAAAATGATCCATTTCATTTACTTGAAGATAAATGTTCTTGGTGATAAAGTATCATATCTTAGTGCAATTGTAGCATTACCTTATCTTGCAAATTTCACTTGGCCCGACATAACTTTTTCTATAAATCTCATTACAAGATATAATTCTACACCAACTCAAAGATATTGGAATGGTGTTAAAAATATTTTTTATTACCTAAAGTGCTCTATTAAATTGGGATTATTTTATTCAAAAAAATCGAGATTTACTTTAGTGGGAATGCAAATGTAGGTTATCTATCTGACCTACATAAAACTAAATCACAAACAGAATATATGTTTGCACGTGGAGGAACAACTATATTATGAATATTTGTGAAGCAATCCTTGACAGCAACATCCTGAAATCATTCTGAAACTATTGCAATTTATGAAGCAGGTTGATAATGTGTATAGCTGAGAAACATGACCCATCATATTCAAGCATCATGTAGTTAAACTCCAACAAAAGATAGGCCAACAATTTTGTATGAAGACAATACAGCTTATTTTGCACAACTCAGAGGAGGCTATATCAAAGGTGACAGGATGAAGCATTTCTCCAAAATTCTTTAATGAGCTTAAAAAGAATGGTGACATCAATATCCAACAAATTCCCTCAAGTGACAATATAACCTATTTATTCACAAAAGTATTACCAACATCTACATTCAAAAAATTAGTTCACAAGATTGGAATGTGTCGACTCAAAAATTTTCAGTGATTAACATCATGGGGAGTAGATGTACTTTTTTTCCTTCTCTTAGATTTTATCCCACTGAATTTTCTAGCAAGGTTTTAATGAGACGTTATTTATTTTTAATACTCTAAAATAACTGTACTCTTTTTTCTTCATTTGATTTTTTTTCCATTAGATTTTTATCAAATAAGGTTTTAACGAGGCAGATATTTTGTAATGTGTCATTCAAGAAGGAGTTTGTAAAAGGTAATTTTTATTAGGGTTTATATGTGAATGACAATTGTACCTCTGCAGCTCTGAAAATTATTACTGATGTATCGCTAATTCTGCCCTATAAATACAGGACTTTGGTTCTTAATAAAACACACCAAAGTATATTGACTTCTCTCTATTTTCTTCTCTTTTTTTCTCTTTTCATAACATTCCCATATTTTATTACTTATTTTCTTTTTATATTTTTGCTGTATCAAAACAAGAAGAAATTGTCTAGTAGCATTTAAAGTACATATTTTATCTCAGTATCTTTCCTTTGGTTGAAACGTATTTGAACGTTTTAAGGTAGGATAACAACGTACAGATGGTTTTGTCCCATTTAATTTTTGTTATTTCATATTGATATTTTGTAAATGATATGTATGGCCATTCGGTACAAAAGATATAATATAATATGAGCTCTTACCGATTATAAAGATATGATATGATGGTACAATTTATTTTGATATATGAATGATAAATGTTATTCGGAATTGTATTAGTATTCATATCCTATTGAGTATTTCTCATACTCACCCCTTTTTCCCTACTCACGGGTTAGTTCAGATCGTGTCGGAGCGTGACGGTTCAATTGGCGATTGTACCACATTTGCTAGATGAAAATCTACGTAACTTTTTTTCTGTTTAATTGAAAAAAAACATTTATTTGTAGTTAAATTTTTGTACATGTATTTTTGTATGTGGATATGTTTAGATTGCACTCTTGATTGGAATTTTGAATATAATTGTTTGATGTAGTGGTGTAAATGCCCTTTGCTCATTTTCGTATAAAAAAATTACTGTTTAATTAGCTGGTAAACACATTAAAATACAATTATCTACTTCTAGTAAATTGGATTTTAAAGAATGTAGGAGTTAGTAGTTAAAATTGGTGTATCATATAAAATATGTTGATGAAAATAAAATTGACCATTTTTAATGGAACTTTTGGGTAATGACTTAAATTATAAAATTTTGGTCGTTACAGTTTGGTATCAAAGTCTAATATAAAAAAAAATTGTTTTATTAGATTCTTTTTCTTTTCTCACTACAATAACAGTCAAGTGCGTGCTATAATTATGTAAAATCTTAGTTGTCACATCTTGTATCTTGTGCATTAACACTAAGTTGTTAAAAAAACATATAAAGTAAAGTACATGCTAGGAAAAATATGACAACAATATTGATAAATTAAAGTCTACATTCAACAGTGCTACAACAAATAATTTTACACT